ACAGGGAAACATGCATGCAACCATACAAGAATGTAAATAAGTAATAACAACATGTATAAGCATCATGCAATAGGGCCAGGGAGATGGCTCCGTAGAATAAGTGCTTCCCTGGCAAGCGCAATGGCCTGAGTTCAATCCTCAGTTCTGCAAAAAAGAAAAAGAATCATGCAATAAGGCTGCAGCCTGCACTGCACCAGTGTGCTCTGCTCTGCTCCAGGCTGCCTGCTGCTGCTGCTGCTGCTGCTGCTACCTTGCACATGTGCTTCTGCGACCCTGAGACCTCACCCGTGAAAGTCTCCCTTGAGCCCCCTGAGCGGGCCGACAGTCTCCCCACCCCTAAAAGTCCTGGCGACCAAGTGCCGTGGAGCCCGAAGGCTGTGCTGCTGCTGCTGACCCAGGAGCTTGCTCAGAGCGCAGGGACGCAAGTGATCAGGAAGAGGAGAGAGCAACGAGCTGGCCAGATCTCCCCCAGCCAGCGCGAGTGCTTTTTAGCAGGATGATGGTCTTCATAGCTGCACAGAGTGGCAAACAGGCCTCCGCAGTTCCGGGTACCACTTAGGCAGAGCCTGCCCACTCCAGTCTCCCCACCCAGGCATTGCCTGTAGGGACCTGGTCCTGCTAGTTTGTTCTCCTGACAAAAGGGATGAAGGAGGATGAAAGATAGACACACAGCTTAGCATTCCAGCAGTCAGCATGGTGGGGGGTTCTCAGCTCTAAGGGGCAGAGGAGCCCCAGTCAGCTGCCACCTCCTGCTGTTACTTACTCAGACACAGGTACAGACAACTAAAGTAACACAAAGGTCATGTGCCTTTTATTATCCCTTATTACAGGGCCCCGGTTAAACCCTGATCTCAGATGCCACGACTTCCCTAAAACCAGCCACACCACCGCTCCTGCATGTTGCTAAAGGAGCGCAGCCGCCGCCTCACACAAGAGGCCAGTTAGGCCTTGATTCCCTTAACTGGTTTTTTTTTTCCGGAACCAGGGATTGAACTCAGCCCCTTGCGCTTGTCAGGGAAGCGCTTATTGAACTGAGCCATCTCTCCGGCCCCACGCAGGTTACTGTGTGGTGTGTTTGTGTGTGTGTGTGTGTGTGTGTGTGTGTGTGTGTGTGTGTGCGCTGTTGTTGTCTGAGACATGGTAAAAAAAAAAAAAAAAAAAAGGGAGAGAGAAACACGGTATCACTATATAGTTCAGCCTGGAATTGAACTTACTCTCTTGCCCAGACTGGCACCAAACCCTCCTGGCGTGGTGGCACTCCTGCAATCCCAGCACTCAGGAGGCAGAGGCAGGAGGATCCTCACAAGCTCGACCAGCCTGGGCTGCAAAGCGAGCTCAAGGCCAGCCTAAACTGCGTAGCAAGGCCCTGTCTCAAAAAGACCAAAAAATAAAATAAAATAAAATAAAAAATAATAATAATAATAAATAAAATAAAAAATAAAAAATTCCACATACAGAATTGCCTATGGTCCAGCTGGACGGAGTTCAGGGCTCATTTGGCACAGCCCTTTCGCATCCTGCTGATTCGGTGCTCATTGCTAGGGCTGCAAGGCCCTTCTTCTTCCCCAGCTCCAGGAATTAGGGTCAAGACCTGCGGGGCAGGGCTCGCCGCCCTGGCTGCAGCTGCGGCCCTTAATCCGGGCAGCGCTGAGATAGGGATTCGCCTTTAGCCCCGCTGATCAGCAGCGGCGGGCCTGGCACCGCGCGGGGAAGGCGGAGGAGGCGGCGCCATGGATGAGGGCGATGTGTTCCTGGCCTTTGCACAGGCCCCCCTGCCTCCCAGGGGTCCCGTGCGACGCGCCTTGGACAGGGTCTTCTTGACCTTCCTGATCCTCTTCCTGTCGCTGCTGACACTGGAGGCGACCCTCAGGCTGCTGTGGCTGCTGCCCTGGGCCAAGTTTGGGGCCTGGCTCCTGAGGACGCCGCAGGGGAGGAGCAGTTGGAACTGTGACCCTCTTTAGTTCCCAGGGAGGTGAGATGGGACCCCGGAGGGAAGGGGCCCCTTGGGGGACTGCAGAAGGGACACAAGGATCCTTTAGGGCAGCAGCCTAAAATTTCTGTACCTTTAGTCTGGATAATAATTTTGAGAAAGTTGTACACTGTCTTCTGTATTAAACTTTTTTTTTTTTTTTTTTGAGACAGGGTCTCGCTGTGTAGTTCAGGCTGGCCTCAAACTCAAGATATCCTCCTGCCCTTGCTTCCTCAGTGCTGGGATTATAGGCCTGTGGTACCATGTCCAGCTTCACTAGATTAAACTTTTATTTGTATTTAGTTTTTGGCACTGGGAGTCAAAATCAGAACCTTGTGCTGGCCAGGAAGGCACTGCACTCTGAGTTACATCCCCGGCCTTTCACCAGATTAAACTTTTAAATTGAGCGCAAACGCGCACGTTCGCGGGACAGTGTGATTTTTTTTTTTGATGCATGCGCATAATGATCCAATCACTGCAACCGGCAAGTCCCTCATCTCAAATGCAGTATCATTCCCTTGTGTTGGCAGCATTCAGTCCTGGATTCTAGCTGTTTGGAAATACAGAGCAAGTTTATTATTATCATTATTATTATTATTTATTGTGTATTTGGTACAGGGTCTCATGACATAGCTCAGACCTGTAGTGATCCTCCTGTGTTCAGCCTCCCCAGTGCTGGGATTACAGGCATGCACCAGCACACCGGGTCTTGCTGGTCAGCTCAGTGCAGCTGGGGGTGGAGCTGGTGTGGCATGTGGTTCCAGGGATCAAACCCTGGTCCCTGCACTTGCCTAAGCAGACTATTTATTATTATTATTATTAATATTCTTGAGATAAGATGTCTGTAGTTCAGGCTGGCGTTGAACTCACTATGTAGGTTGGGCTGACTTGAATTTGCAGTGATCCTCCTGTCTCAGCCTCCTGAGTGCTGGGATTACTGGCATGCACCAGTGTGCCTGGCCTGTGGACTAATTAATCGTACATACTGGATCCCAGCATTCCACGCGCCAGATCCAGCCACTTACCAAAAGCCCCAGTTATGACCACACGAGGCTTTGGGTGACACCTAGACACAAGCCATAACCCCTGTGCTAAACATTTGAGTTGCAAGCTTTCACAGATACAAAGGGACCTGGAATTCCACAGGTGGGAGCACACTGGGAAGGTATCTCCTGGGTCTGCTGGGTGTCGTCACAGGTGTGCAGCTGTGCCCAAGGTAGCGTGCCCAGTGAGAGCCCGCGACACCAGGAAGAGGAACACAGTGCCAAGGAGGGAGTGCTTAGAAGCACAAAGCAAGATACTCTATGTCAAAGGCCCGTAAGACCTGATTTTGTGGGAGTCACGAATGAATCTGATTTGTGAATGTCCTTCCAGGACAGAACTGTTGGAAACTATTCGTAGGAAGGGGATCCATAGATACATATTTTGACTATTTTTTTTCTTCTTGGCAGAACCGGGGATTAAACTCAGGCCCTTGCGCTTGCCAGGGAAGCCTGAATTCTAACATTTATTTATTTATTGTGTGTGTGTGGCCAGCTCAGCCCACCAGGGGGCGGGGCTGGCTGGCATGTGGTGCTGGGGGATTGAACCGCGGTCTCTGTGCTTTGTTTTAGCTTCGCTTGTTCTAAGTAGGTGCTTTAGACCACTGAGCCATCTCACCAGCCCCGAAGCCTGAATTCTAAACTGCACCTGTCTCAAAAAGACAAATAGGTAGTGTTCATGGTACCTCGATGGAAGAAATAGCTTCCGTGTCTATGTAAGACTGTAAGATTGGGGATTTCATGGCTGAGAGCTATGTTTTTTCCTCCTTTCTTTTTTAAAATTTTGGTAGCAGGAATCAAACTCAGGACTGGGTGCTTACAAGGCAGGCGCTGTGCCACTGAGCTATATCCTGGCTATCTTCTCTTCTTCTTTTTTTTAGGGTCACTCAGGATGCCTTCCTTCAGGGCAGGTCTGGTTTGGATTGAGGATGAGGGGATGGAACCACAGCATCCTGAGCCTGCTTTTTTTTTTTTTTTTTTTGTGGAACCAGGGATTGAACTCTGGCGCTTATGCTTGCCAGGGAAGGGCTTATTCCACTGAGCCATCTCCCCAGCAAAGAAAAGGTGTATTTTTTTTTGGCTTTGTTTCAGCAGGCACCTAAACACCTGAGCTAATGGGCAGGCCCCCTATCTTCTTTTTTTTTAAGAGGGGGTAAGTCTAGTAGGTCCCGGGGAAGGAAGGAGGGGCTCTCCTGCATGCTTTACCGGGAAGCCGGTTTCGGGAAGCTGAGGGTGTGGCACAAGCCCCGTCCAGCCTCCATCCCCGGGCGGAGGCTGCGGCTCTCCGCGGGGGGCGCCGAGGTCCCGCGGCCGCCCTGGGCGCCCTCCTCCCCCCGGCTGCGCGCCCCCTCGGTCCTTCCCCCAGACTCGGTGGGGCCGCTGTCAGTCGTGGGCGCAGCCCCGGCCCCAGCAGCAGGCGCAGCGACTGCTCCGGGCGGCCCCTGCTCGGCTCCTCAGCTGCTCGACAGCGGGGCCGAGCGGGAGCCCGGGGCTGCAGGGTCCAAGCGGCGGGAGATGCCGGCTGGACGCGGGGAGCAGCGCGGAAGGCACAGGGCTCCTTTCCCTCCGCTGACCCGCCGGCCCTCCCTGCGGTCCCACACAGCGCCCGAGCACCCAATTTCCTCTCGCGCCACCCTCCTCTGGAAGGTGGCTTAGTCCTCAGGTGACTCTTAGGCTCCAGACGGGAAGTTTCCGACTGGCAGAGAAGCAGAAGCACTGGCCTTTTTAAAAGAGCCGGATGCGAGGGCTAAAGGCGAAGCCAAAGCCCCCAATGCCCCAATGCCGTACAGCAACATGGCGGCCCCAGCACTTAGGGCTGTCCTTCAGGCGATAAGCCCCGCCCAGTACAGGTGGGGGAGGGAGGGAAAGGCCGACCCAATAGGTGGACAGCCGTCACTTCCGGTCACCGGAAGACTGGGTTCCGTACAACAACATGGCCTCCCTCAGGTGCGTGTAGGCGGAAACTCTGCGGTTTCCGGTCCGTAGAGGGTCCAGCGGTGGGAGGGGGAAGGAAGGCGGAGTGAACCATGCGAGGTTCTGAGCTCCCCCGTGAGCGTCGCCTCGAGAGACCGTTTTTGAGGTGGGGGCCAGACTGTGCAGGGAGCGAAGGCGGGGGCGGGGATTCGAGGGCGAGGTACGGTACTGGGGACAGACCTGGGGGGCTGAGTGAGGGGCAACGTGTGGCAGCTTTCTATCCATGCTGGGGAGCGGGGCGGCCGCCGCTGCACCGCGAGGGGGACTTGGCGGGAAGCTCCTGTACCTGCCCGGCCAGCCAGGATTTGGGGCCGCGAGGAGCCGGGAGAGCCCAGTGGCGGGCTTCGGGTCGGCTACCAGTCCCAGAGAGAATGGGGAAAATCAGGGTGGGGTGAGAGGGAGGGGACTTGGTGAAGAATTTCCAACCTGAAGCCGGGGTTTGAGGAGACCCGTGAGGGCGAAATCTGGGCATCATTCAAGGGCCCAGGGGAAGGAGGATGGCTTGATGGGCGAGATCCTTTTGCGCCTCAGAGTCTGGGAGTTGGGGTGACCATTCTCAGTGGGGTGTGCGTTTGCCGGGTGAGGGCGGCGGGCAGCAGACCCATGAGGTGGCGCCCACGGGGGTGTCGGGGACATTGGGGTGCAGTGTGGGAGCTGGGGCTGGGCTTGATAGTAAGCAACTTGCCAGCTGTGAGAAATAGTGGAGAAACGTAACCGAAAGACCGGAAATCACGGGGAGGGGTGGAGCTGGGGGAGGAGACTTGGGGTTTGGAGAAGGCTTGCCCCCTCTTTCCCCAATACTTGAGGGGCCTGAAAATCATTTACAACTGGTGAGAGTCCTGGAAGAGAGGCGGTAGGACACTTGCTGTCAGCCAGAGCTGGGCGGTTCGTAACCCAGGGTGATTGGAAAGTGAACTAGGCTGTGCCGGCGGGGTGCTTTCTGAGTCCCGGTCCCCTTCTAGTAGGAACCCCGAAATCCCCACTACTCCCTTTCCTTGGAGGATTTGATGCCCCATGGCCGCTGCTAACAGCATCATTGTGCTGGACGATGATGATGAAGATGAGGCGGCTGCTCAGCCTGGGCCCTCCGCCCACGCTGCCTCCAACCTGGCCGCACCCCGGGCCGAAGCCCCTGGCTCCTCTGAGCCCCCTGGAGCTGGAGGGAGCTCTACTTCCAGTGGCAAGAAATGCTACAAGTTGGAGAACGAGAAGCTCTTTGAAGAGGTGAGTTTTAGGGGAGAAGATTCTCCTACCCGGGAGGGGTGGTGACTGGCACTTCGGACCCATCTTCTCCACTAACCCTGCCTTGCCTTCCTTCTCTCAACCCCTTCTCTTGCCTTTTTTCCCCATCCTTCTTTTCCCTGAACCCTCCAGTTCCTTGAACTGTGTAAGAGGCAGACAGCGGACCACCCTGAGGTGGTCCCATTCCTTTCAAAGCTGCAACAGCGTGCCCACCCCCTGTTTTTGGCCTCCGCGGAGTTCTGCAACATCCTCTCCCGGGTCCTGTCTCGGGCCCGCAGCCGGCCATCGAAGCTCTACGTGTACATCAATGAGCTCTGTACTGTTCTCAAGGCCCACTCGGCCAAGAAGAAGCTGAATCTGGCCCCTGCAGCTACTGCGGCCTGTGAGCCCTCCGGGAGTCACCCGCCCTCAGATCCCTCCTCCGATCTCGTCAGTGCTGAAGCCACTGCCTCTGAGGCTTCAAGGACCCGTGGGTCCCAGCGACAGATTCAGCGCTTGGAGCAGCTGCTGGCGCTCTACGTGGCAGAAATACGCAGGCTGCAGGAGAAGGAGTTGGATCTCTCAGAGTTGGACGACCCAGACTCTACATATCTGCAGGAGGCCCGGTTGAAGCGGAAGCTGATCCGCCTGTTTGGGCGTCTGTGTGAGCTCAAGGAATGCTCTTCATTGACTGGCCGCGTCATAGAGCAGCGCATCCCCTACCAAGGCACCCGCTACCCGGAAGTGAACAGGCGCATTGAGCGGCTCATCAACAAGCCAGGGCCTGATACCTTCCCTGACTATGGAGATGTGCTGCGGGCCATAGAAAAGGCTGCTGAACGCCACAGTCTCGGCCTTTCCCGACAGCAGCTGCAGCTCATGGCTCAGGATGCCTTTCGAGATGTGGGCATCAGGTTACAGGAGCGGCGCCATCTTGATCTCATCTACAACTTTGGCTGCCACCTCACTGATGACTACAGGCCAGGTACTGGGTCATTCGGGTGTACGTCAGCGACCCTTTAGGTCATTTGTATGGGGTAGACAGGGCATTTGCCTAACCCCCTCTCCAGTTTGAGGCCAAGCTGTCTGACTTTGTATCTTCTCCTGCAGGCATTGACCCGGCACTGTCAGATCCTGCCTTAGCCCGGCGCCTACAGGAAAACCGGAGTTTGGCCATGAGCCGGCTGGATGAAGTCATCTCCAAATATGCAGTGATGCAAGACAAAAGTGAGGAGAGGGAGAGACAGAAGAGAAGGGCCCGGGTCTCCCAAGGGACCTCTTCCCACTCTGCAGGCTCCCCCAAAGCCTCCTTGGATTCTGGTGAGGTGTGCGAGGGGTGTGCCCTGCAAGAGACCGTGTATTGCCTCTGCACTGTCCACGAGGGGTCCCAGGGTGGCTGTTGGCCTGTGCAGAAGAAAGAAATGCAAGAGTCAACCCGTGGGGCAAGGGATTTATTAGAAAAACTCCTTTGTTCCCCAGGGCCCCAGTGGAGTGACGTCCCAGGGGTGCCCGAGCACTTCCAAGGCTGAGATGGATGATGAGGAAGATGAGGAAAGTGAGGAGGAGGAGGAAGAAGAAGAGGAGGAAGCCACGGATTCTGAAGACAAGGAGGATCTAGAACAGCTGCAGGAAGGTCAGGGGGACGAGGAAGAGGATGAGGAGAGTGCAGGTACATGAGAGGAACATTCTCTTCGCTGCTCTTTTCTTTTTTGCTCCGAATGCCTTCAGGGCAGGTTTGGCTGGCTTGGGTTGTGGGGATCGAACCACAGCAACCTGAGCCTGACTGCTTTGTTGAAGCAGCCACTTAAAGAACTGAGCTACGGGGCAGGCCCCCTCTTCGCTGCTTTTTGAGACTTTTTATTTCCTTTTAATTTTTTTTATTTTTTCTTTATTTAGGACAGGGCCTACCAGGTCTACAGGGTCTTACTACGTAGATCGGACTCATAGTGATCCTCCTGTTTTCAGCCTCCCAAGTGCTGGGATTGCAGGGGTGCACCACCACACCCAGTCTCAATCGCCTTCTCACAGTGCCCTGTGAGTGGGGCGGGCCTGGCACGCTGGGAATCCAACCCCGGCCACTGCACTCTGCCTGAGTGGGCACTTTAGCCTGCTGAGCTATCAGGTCAGCCCTTCCTTTGGTTTTTTGAGAGACCCACAGTGTAGTTTAGAGTGGTCTTGAGCTCACTGTGTGGCCCAGGCTGGCCTTGAACCTCCAGTGAGCCTCCTGCCTCAGCCTTCCTAGTGCTGGGATTACAGGCGAGGGTCGCTGTGCCTGGCCTTGAGACTTTTTTTTCCTCCTTGTTTCTCCTCAGTATTTTCTTTCCTCATCTTCATGCCCCTTCTTTCCTTTTCTTTTCCCCCAGGTAAGGATGGAGACAAGAACCCCAAGTCCCCAGCACAGGTTTCCACTGAAAAGAACCAGGAAGCTGTCAAACGAATCAGCAGGGTTTCGGGGGAGCAGCCAAACAAAAGACTCATAGCGTCACCAGTGTTGGTGTTGGAAGAACCGCGGGCCCACTCCAGCGTGGATGCTGAGAGCAGCAGAGAGCAGCTTGAGGATCTGCCCGTGGAGGAAGACAGCCCTCTGTCTCAGCTCTTTGAGCTGGAGATAGAAGCCTTGCCCGTGGATAGCACCCCTTCTCCAGAGGAGAGTGACGTTTCCTCTTCCCGGAAGCAGTCGGAAGATCCTCTTCCCATGGTCCTGGAGAATGGGGCAGCCACAGTCACCTCCACATCCTTCAATGGCGGTGTCTCTCCTCACACTTGGAGAGATTCTAGTCCCCCCTGCAAGAAGTCTCGGAAGGAGGAGCAGCAGACTGGGTCTGGATGGTCGGGACAGTTAGGAAACAGGTCACAGCAGGCGGGGAAAGGAGTATGCGGGTGGCAGGGCCTTCCTGGGAGGAACACGGGGCTCAGGCTCCTAACCCCTCCGCCCTCTGCTTGTGTTTTGTTCTCAGCATTTTGGCAGGGCCAAGGCTGGTGCTCGAGAAGGGCGCCAAGAAGACTTGCGCGCCGCCCAGCCCACCGTCCTCCCTGGCTTCGGTGGCCCCAGTTGCTGATTCTTCTACAAGGGTGGACTCTCCGAGCCACGGGCTGGTGACCAGCTCTCTCTGCAGCCCTGTTCCAGCTCGGATGTCCCATGTCCCCCAGTGCCCTCCCCGGCCCAGCACATACAAGGTAAGGGGCATCTGTCCTCTTCGAGTCTGCTTGTCACTGCTCTCCTCCCAGCCTGGTTCCTAAGCCCTCTGTCACCACTGACCCTGTCTCCTCCCCGCAGATGAGTGTGGCCACGCAGTGCGACCCTGAGGAGATCATCGTGCTGTCCGACTCCGATTAGTGGCCTCTTCCGCTTCCCCTCTAGAATGCATTTGGGGGGTGGTAGGAAGCCAACAGCTCCGGAACGCACAGACTGAGCTAATCCCTTCTTGGTGGTGTTTCTTTTAAAAATCCAGAAACTTAAGTTTTACACAGAAACATTAAAAACAATAAAATTCTTTTCTTGTAGTTTTGTCCTTTCCTTGGTCTTCCGGTCGCAACCTGATACCAGTAGTCTCTGGCTCAGGGTTGGCCCCGATGTCTGTGCTATCCTGGCCCTTGCGCACTCCTTTGCACAGTTTTTGCACCTGCGGACCGCCCTGGTACCCTGCACCAGGTGTGTGGAGGGGCGTGCTTCCACTGTCTTAAAGCACTTTACTTTCTCACTTTGAGCGGCGGGAGAGAAAAGGCCAATCAGGGCCGGCTGTAGATTCCTCGGCCAATCCAGGCCCGGGGGTGGGGGGCGGGGCTTCAGGGGGACTGTCAGGAGCTAGGACCGGGGCTATTAGATCCCGCAAACCAGCTAATGGCCACAGCTCGGGGGCGGGGCCTGAAGGAGGGCCAGCACCCTTCGCCAATGGGAAAAAGCAGGCTTACAGAATTAAAGGGGAATGAAGGATTCGGCTAACTCAAGTTTTGGGTCCGCTGCGGAAGGTAGGACCTGGTACCTTTAAAGGGTGATGAGGCGAAAGTTCTTTAAAGGAGAAGTGGTCAAGTCGGCCGAATATTACCTAGCGGCACGGGCGGGGGTGCCCGCCTGTGCCTTTAAAGTCGGAGGGGCGGGAGGCGGAGCGGAGGCAGAGGGCGGAGGGAGTCGGCGCAAGATGGCGGCGGGAGGGGCTCAGGCTGCAGCTCTGGACGCCGAGTGAGGGGCGGGGGGTCCGGGGGCGCGCGGCCCGGTAAGCGGGGACGCGCAGGGCTGGGGGGCGCCTTCCGGGTAGGAGAAGAGGTCGAGGTAGTGCTTGGGGCGGAGCAGGTGGGGCGGGGTCCGGTGTGGGCGGGGGTAGGCAAGGGGCGGGGTCGAGAGGCCATAGGGGGCGGAGCATAGCGAGTCCCGAAAGAGTGGGGCTAGAGACGAGCTGGGGGTGCAAAGGGCGTATCCGTGAGAGCTGGGGGCGCAGCCTACCGGGAGACTGAGCCTGGGCTGGTTTTTGTAGAGCGACAGACCTGACCCCTTTTCCTCTAAGGGTGCAGAACACCAAAAAGGTAGATTTTGGGAAGTTAGGCTCTCAGGCAAATGGAAAATAGGGTGCAATTTCAAAGGAAGATGCCTCACTCCCCAAGAGTGTTACTTCTCTTAACTCCAAGTAGTGGGCACTGACTTTGGGGTCAGGACATCTGCTTGTGATGGCGTTTCACTTGATGGCTGTGTCACCTTGGATGATGACTTCATCTTTCTGAGCCCATTCCCTAGTCTCTCTTGGGGTTGACAAGTGTACCTATGCCAGTGTTGTGCAGAGTTACTTAGAAGACTGGCACCACGTGTTTTCACATTATTGTAATTTTTATGAAATGTTCTCATTTCTCTTTTTTTCTCCCAGAGACCCCCCCGGCCGCCCTCCTCCTTCCTCTGTTCCTGTGGCTGGGGGGGTGTCCCCTCTCTCAACATGGAGCCGTCCACTCTGTCGCCCAGTGGGCCAGCACTACCCCTGCCTCTGTCACTGGCTCCACCCCCGCTGCCCCTGCCAGCTGCTGCAGTGGTCCACGTGTCCTTCCCTGAGGTGACCAGTGCCCTCCTGGAGTCTCTTAATCAGCAGCGTCTGCAGGGCCAGCTCTGCGATGTATCTATCAGGGTACAAGGCCGGGAGTTTCGGGCCCATCGGGCTGTCCTGGCTGCCTCGTCTCCTTACTTCCATGACCAGGTCCTGCTCAAGGGCATGACCTCCATCTCACTGCCCAGCGTCATGGACCCCGGCGCCTTTGAGACTGTCCTGGCCTCTGCTTACACAGGCCGCCTCAGCATGGCCGCTGCCGACATTGTCAACTTCCTCACTGTGGGCTCCGTGCTTCAGATGTGGCACATTGTGGACAAGTGCACTGAACTCCTCCGGGAGGGTCGCGCCTCAGCCACCACTACTGTCACTACTGCTGCAGCCACCTCCATCACCGTTCCCGGTGCTGGGGTCCCCTCAGGGAATGGGGCCACTGTGGCCCCCGCCACCATGGGCTCCTCGCGTTCCCACACCTCCAGCAGGGCCAGTGAGAACCAGTCACCCAGCAGCAGCAACTACTTCAGTCCCAGGGAGTCCACTGATTTCTCCTCCTCCTCCCAAGAGGCGTTTGTGGCTTCTGCTGTGGGCAGTGGGGAGCGGCGTGGAGGGGGCCCTGCATTCCCAGCCCCCGTGGTTGGCAGCGGGGGTGCCACATCTGGGAAGTTGCTGCTGGAGGCGGATGAGCTGTGCGATGATGGTGGAGACGGGAGGGGTGCAGTGGTCCCCGGGGCTGGGCTCCGGCGGCCCTCTTACACCCCAGCCAGTATCATACCACAGAAGCATTGGGTGTATGTGAAGCGGGGCGCAAGTGGCCCTGCCCCTGCACCCCTGGCTCCCCAAGATCCCGACCTAGAAGAGGAGGAGGAGGAGGAAGAAGACTTGGTGTTGACCTGTGAGGATGATGAAGAGGAGGAGCTGGCGGGTGGCTCTGGGGTTCCCACAGGGGAAAGGCCCGAGGCTACTCTCAGTATCAGTGATGTCCGGTCCCTCACGGAGCCCTTGGACAAGGGGGAGGAGCAGGTCAATTTCTGCGAGTCCTCCAATGACTTTGGGCCCTACGAGGGCGGGGGCTCCGGGGCGGGGCTTGAGGACTCAGGGGGGTCCACCCCTTCCTCGTACACCCCCACCCACCCTCCACGGCCTCTGCTCCCCGTGGACGTGCAGGCCAACCAGATCCTGGTCTTACCCTCATCTTCCTCCTCTTCCCAGGCTCCGGGCCAGCCACCCGGGAACCCAGCCGAACACGGGGCAGTGACCCTCGGGGGCACTCCGGCGGGGGGCGGGGCCGCACCCGGAGGTGCTGGGGGGTCCCAGGGAGGGCCGGGCAGTGGGGACGGGAATAAGATCTTCCTGTGCCACTGCGGGAAGGCCTTTTCCCACAAGAGCATGCGCGACCGGCATGTGAATATGCACCTCAACCTGCGCCCCTTCGACTGCCCGGTGTGCAGCAAGAAGTTTAAGATGAAGCACCACCTGACGGAGCACATGAAGACGCACACGGGCCTCAAGCCCTACGAGTGCAGCGTCTGCGCCAAGAAGTTCATGTGGCGAGACAGCTTCATGCGGCACCGGGGACACTGCGAGCGCCGGCACCGCCTGGGCGGGGGCGGCGCCGGCCCGGGACCCGGCCCTGGACCCGGCCCCGGGGCACCGACCGGGTCCGCGCTGCAGTCCAAGAGAGAGGCCTCGGGAGCGGGCGGAGGAAGCGGCGACGAGGCGAGTGGGGCCACTCCTCCGTCCAGCAGACGGGCCTGGTCCCCTCCCGGCATTCACAAGGTGGAGATGGACTTCAGCGGCGGCGGGGCGAACTGAGAGGCGCGCGGCTGTGGTCGCTGTCGGGACGATCCGGGGACTCCGTGGTCTCCGAGGTCCCCGAGCGCTGTAGCCCTGTACTGTCTTCCTTTTTCTCTGGACTTGAGTGCGTGATGGGGAGGAAACCACGTCGCACTACCGCCAGCCCAGTCCGTGTCTCTGCCCCTTCCTCCCGAGATGCCCTGGAACTACCCCCCATCCCCACACTTCGGGCGCAGCCAGGTCCCAGCTCCAGAGTAGGTGGGGCTACCTGGGGCAGAGGTCTTGAGTCCCGCCCCTCCCCCGGGTTGAGGGTCAGGGTGTTGTAGTCTGTGCCTAGAGTCTGTGTTCGTGTCGTGGGGACAGACCTTGGAGCCCCACCATTGTCCTAGGACCTTGCCCCTCCTGCGGGATGCGCCCCATCTCCATCTCCCTCCACCTCCCATGAGCCCCCCAACTTAGTTCTTACAAAGGAGTGCGTGGAGGCAAGGAGTAAGTTGTAGCACAGGTTTTCATTATTTTTAACAGTGATTAAAATATTTATTGGTTGTTTCACTCGGCTTGCCGATAAACCCTGTTTGCTGGGGACCTGGTGCAGGTGCGGGAGGGTGCGGACGCCTTGCGGAGGGACAGGGAGCCCCGGGCTGTGGGGAGCTCCGGGCGGCGGGGCTGGGGAGCCGCGAGAGGGAGGGCTGTCAGCACCGGCCGGCCCGGGTTGCCGGCGCCCCGCCTTCCCGCGGGGATTCCCAGTCCCTTCAGCCGCCACCGCAAAGAGAAAGCGAAAGCGAAAGGAGAAGGGGCAGCCTCCGAACCGGCGGCGGAGACCAGAGCGCAGCGCCATGAAGCCCCTGTCCTTGCTCCTCGCCCTGGCTTTGGGTGAGCGAACCGTGCGGCCTGGGGCCGGGCAGCGGGAGCGGGAGCGGGAGCGGGGAGAGGCAGGGACGCCCGGCCGCGCGAGCGTCACGGTCCCGGAATCCCGGTTCCGCCCCCAGGCCTGGCGCGCGCGGCCTGGGCCGGACCCGCCGCGATCGAATGCTGGTTCGTGGAGGACCTGGGCCGGGGCGCCCTGGAAAAGAGACCCGCAGCGCTGCTGCTGCGCCAGGGCCCCGGGGCGCCGCCTCTCCGGCCGGACCTGGACCCCCAGCTTTACCTCGGCGTGGACGGTGAGTCTCTCGGGACTCGCCCCGCCTTAGTCGGCTCCGGAACCCCCTCTTCGGGTCGCTTGTGAACCTCGGGTTCAGTTTTCCCCTTGCCAATAGTCTGGACTCCCCAGAGCTGTCGCCCCTGAGCCGCCTGTGCTTCGGACACTCCCAATGCCCCCCTCGACCCCAACTCTGAGCGCCTTCGCTTTTCGCCTCGCAGACCCCGCGGGCGCCCTCCTCGCTGCCCTCCGCCGCCTGCCCCCTGGCGCCCGCGCGCCACACTGTGAGATGAGCCGCTTCGTGCCACTGCCCTCCCCTGCGAGCTGGGTCCAGCGCCTGCGCCCGGAGCAGAGCTGCCCACGGGCCCTGGACGGGGCGTGGCTGATGGTCAGCGTGACCAGCCCGGTCCTCAGCCTCTCTAGCCTCCTGCGCTTGCATCCTGAGCCGCAGCCAGAACCGGTGCTCATCACCATGGCAACAGGTAGCCGGGAAGGGAAGTGGAGGAGGACAGGCAGGCGCGGGGGGCTGGTGTGGGTCGCAGCCCTCCAAGCAAGGATCAGTTTCCTTTTCGCAAGGTGAGACAGCTCGGTTAGGTCTCACCCTCCTCTACATCTCGGGAGGGCTGAATCCATAAAACAGAAACCTCGGGGCCGGGGAGATGGCTCAGTAGGATAAGCGCTTGACTGGCAAATGCAAGGATCTGAGTTCAATCCCCGGTTCCGCCAAAACAAAACAAAACAAAACAAACAAACAAACAAACCAAAAAACAGAAACCGGCTGTGGCCTCAGCCTAGGGGGCTAGCACAGACCCTGAGAATCTGGGAGGTGCTGCAGTCCCAGGGGCTCAGAGCAGGAACTCGCCAGGTGTAGGGGTGCATGCCTGCAGTCCCAGCACTTGGGAGGCTGAGGCAAGCGCATGGCTGAGAGTTCAAGGCCAGCTAATGCTACACAGTGAGGCTTTGTCTCAAAAAAACCAACAACAACAACAACAAAAACCCCAACAAATCCACACACAAAAACAAAACAAAAAACAGGAATGGGAGGGGATGGCTCAGTAGAATAAGTGCAAGCACAAGGGCCTGAGTTCAATCCCTGGTTCCACCAAAACAACAATAACAACAACAACAAACAAGGAGCTCTTCTCTTTGCCCCTCCCAGATCCGTGTCTTGAAAGGGATCCCTTCCTGCAGCAATTCACTGGACTCTTGTTAGCCCTTCACCAAGGCCCCTGGCACTTGCTCTGACTGCCCCGGGGTTGCAGGGCTTGGGAAGGCTCTCCTATCTGTGACAGTATGTCAAAGGGAAAGTGCTTTACTAGGCCAGGGATGCAGTTCGGTGGTAGAACCATGCCTGGGGCCTTGGGTTCAAACTCTACCACCAGAAAACAGAAGCTCTTTAAAAGAAGAAACAGGGACTGGGGAGATGGAGCAGTGGAATAAGTGCTTCCCTGGCAAGCGCAAGGGCCTGAGTTCTATCTCCGGTTCTGTCAATAATAATAATAACAACAGAAGAAGCAAAATGCCAGGGCCAGCCAGATGCAGACTAAAGTGTCTGGTGGGGTGGGTGGATCCTGGCAGCACGAGATGTGCTGGCCCACCCATACGGAGTCTGAGACGGCATGGTAGCGTAAGCCTGTAATCCCAGTGCTTGGGAGGCTAAAACGAGGAAGCTCACTATGAGTCCCTGCTGTGTAGTGAGAGCCTGTGCTAAATACATAAAAACAGGACCAGGGAGATAGCTCAGTAAAATAAGCGCTTGCCTGGGAAGTGCAAGGACCTGAGTTCAATCACCGGTTCTGCCAAAAACCCCAAAACAATAAATATATAAAAACACAGAATGCCTCTCTGTGCCTCCTCAGACAGCCCAGCCCAGAGGCAGGTGTGTTGGTACACACCCCACTTCCCTGTGCCCCCAGTTAGAGCCAGGCCTGTTAAGGCTAGTGTTCCAGGCCAGCTTGAATTACAGCTGGGAAATTTAATCTCTCAAGGATATGATTTTTTTTTTTTTTTTGGTGGAACCGGGGATTGAACTCAGGCCCTTGCACTTGCCAGGGAAGTGCTTATTCCACTGAGCTATCTTCCTGGCCCCTCAAGGATATAATTTTGATTTGTTCAAATCATGAAACATGTTCATATATTTTGTTGTAGTCTCTTCAAGTTACTATAACCAAATGCTGTAGGCTGAGTGGATTTAGATAACAGAAATGTACTTTTTTTTTTTTTTCAGAAATGTATTTTGTCACATTGATCCTTGGCAGTGGGGTTAGTGTCAGGTGGGGGCTCCCCCACTGGTTTGCAAACTGAGGCCTCCTTGCCTTGGGATGTCATTTTTGTAGGGGGTTTTTTGGTGGAACTGGGGATTGAACTCAGGTCCTTGCGCTTGCCAGGGAAGCGCTTATTCCACTGAGCCATCTCCCCGGACCCAATTTTTGTAGTTTTGAGACAGGTATAAGTGTGTAGTTCAGGGCTAGCCTTGAAGTCACTTTGTAGCCCAGGCTGCCCTCCACTGCCTGCCTTGAACTGAGTAGCTGAGGGTGGCCTTGAATTCATAGGGGTCCTCCTGCCTCAAGCTCTGGAGTGCTGGGATTATAGCTTTAATCTTCACCATGCTGTCCTGTACCACGGCACCTTGAGGAGCCTAAGGACTCAAGAAGTTTTTTTTTTTTTTGCGGAACTGGGGATTGAATTCAGGCCTTTGCGCATCTCTCCGGCCCTCCCTCAATAAGTGTTTGTTCAATGAATAAGAGAAAGAAGTCCGACTGACCATTCATCAGAGGCAGGGACAGTGGCCTTGAAGCATGGTGAGGGGCGCTGGCAGAGACACTTGAGCTGGCGGGAATCCAGCTGGGCAAGCCTATCAATGCAGAAGCACGCTTTCGTAGGCTTCTGCATTGCGGGCACTGTTCTCCAAAATAGGTCATGTTGCCCAGCAGCAGGAATGGAGCAGATTTGGGCAGTAAGAGGTATTACATGTGGCAGGTGAGGTGGCACACACCTGTAACCCCAGCATTTGGAAGGCTGAGGCAGGAGGCTTGATGTCAGTGTGAGGTCAGCCTGAACTACCAGGGAGACCTGTCTGGAACAAAAAAGCAAAAACCAACTCATTCCCAGAGCCTGAGTAGGCCGCCGTCAGAGCAGGCTTGGGGGTGGGGCACCTCTTCACCATGCTAGCCCTGGGCTGTCCTAGGGGAAAGGGGACTTGCAGAGTGGCTGGAGGCACTGTGCTCTGAAGGGTGGCTGAGCGGACTAACCCGTGTCCCCCCCTCTTCCCAGCGGTACTCACTGTCCTCACCCACACCCCTGCTTCCCGAATCAGACTGGGACAGGATGCTGTACTGGACCTGAGCTTTGCCTACATGCCCCCCACCCCTGAGCCTGCTGCGTCCTTGGCTCCAGGCCCCCCTCCCTTTGGGCTGGAGTGGCGACGCCAGCACCTGGGTAAGGGGCACCTGCTCCTGGCCGCCACTCCTGGGCTGAATGGGCAGGTGCCGGCAGCCCAAGAGGGGGCAGTGGCATTTGCCGCTTGGGACGACGAGCCTTGGGCTCCATGGACTGGGAATGGGACCTTTTGGCTGCCTGCGGTCCGGCCGTTTCAGGAGGGCACCTACCTGGCCACTGTACACCTGCCATACCTACAAGGACAGGTGGCCCTGCAGCTCACCGTGCACAGTGAGTGGAGCTGGGGTCTTGGGGACACTGGGAGGAGAGATGCTGGAGAGGATGGGGTGGGAGTGGGGTCCCTGAGAATGAATGACTTTGTTGTAGGGATTCCTAGAAAGCATCAATGGACAGTGGGTTCCTTGTCCCTGGAGATCACCCTGCAGTTTAGGGGACACCTGAGGACTGAGGGAGGACAGTGTGGATTGAGTCTCTTGTGCTTGTCTCTTGCTTTTTCCCCCAGAGCCACCCAAAGTGTCACTGACGCCAGCCCCCCTCATTTGGGCCGCCCCTGGGGAGGCTCCCCCAGAGCTGCTCTGCCTTGTGTCCCACTTCTACCCTCCTGAGGGCCTGGAGGTGGACTGGGAGCTCCAAGGCAGCCCAGAGGGCAGCTTCCGTAAGGCTCAGGGGCAGAGCTGGGTCTCGTCCCTGCAACACCATTCAGATGGCTCTGTCAGCCTCTCTGGGCACTTTCAGCCGCCACCGGTCACTGCTGAGCATCATGAGGCACGCTATGCATGTCGCGTCCGCCACCCTAGCCTGCCTACCTCAGTGCACCGTGCCGTGGTCACAGTGGAAGTGGCAGGTAAGAGCCTTGAGGGCCGAGGAGCTGGCAGTGCCCTGAAAGATGGGAAGCTCACTCTTGCCCTTCGCCTGCCAGGCCTGTCCGGACCCTCCCTGGAGGACGGTGTAGGTCTCTTCCTGTCTGCCTTTCTGCTCCTCGGACTCATCAAGGTGCTGTCTGGGTTGGTGAGTTGAGTCCCTTTGACCACGAGGGGAGGACACTTCCCCACTCCTGAAAGCAGCCAGCCAGCCAGCCTTTGTCCTGTCCTAGCTGAGCTCGATCCAAAGGAGAAGGTAACCGCCTTCACTTCTCCTTCCACTCCCCACCCCCAGCTCAACCCTGTGTGGTGAGAGGAACCAGATTTGGAATTCACATAGACGTGCCCTGTACCCTAATGGGAGACCCCCCCAAATGTGCTACTAATCTACCTGTTCCCTTAAGTGTTTTTTTTTTGTGGAAGCGGGGATTGAACTCAGGCCCTTGCGCTTCCCAGGGAAGCGCTTATTCCACTGAGCCATCTCCCTGGCCCAAAGTGTGTTGTTTTTTTTCTTTAAATTTATTTATTTATTTTGTGTGTGTGTGGCCAGCTCAGCCCACCAGGGGGCAGGGCTGGCTGGCATGTGGTGCTGGGGGATTGAACCGTAGTCCCTGTGCTTTGCTTAAGGTCAGCTTGTTCTAAGTGGGTGCTTTAGACCACTGAGCCATCTCACCAACGCAAAGTGTGTGTTTTTTTGAGACAGGATCTTACTGTGCAGTTTAGGCTGGCCTTGTGCTCACTTTGTAGCCAAGGCTGGACTCGAACTCATCCACCTACTTCTGCCTCCCGAGTGCTGGGATTACAGGAGTATGCCACAGTGCCCAGCATGGGTGTGGGGATTTAAGAAAAATGACGCAGGCAGCTCTGTCCCATGCAGCATATAGCAGGCTTGCATGTGCAGCGGCATACACCCATAATCGCAGCTCCTGCAGGGGCAGGAGGAGGAGGGTCCCAAGTTCAGTGCGGGGCCCTGGCTCAGAAATAAAGTCTAACAAGGGCTGGGACACAGCTCAGTTGCAGAGCCCTTGCCCAGCAGGCTTGAGGCCCTGGGTTCCACCCGCGGGGGCTGCCATTCTGGTGGCCTCATGGATCCCAGTCACACTAGGTGGTGGTGCCTCAGCATGGTTAGAGGTGTGCAGGAGACACGGCACTCTGTGCAGTCAGTATCTGGCGGGCAGAAAGTGTCAGCCTCCTCCTCTCCCCACCCTGCCGAGCCACGTGTACTTCACTCCATGTCCCGAAACCCCCAATTCCTCACCGCCTCCTCAATTTTTATTTATTTATTTATTTTTTGGCGGAACCGGGGATTGAACTTAGGCCCGCGCTTTTTCTATTGAGCTGTCTTCCCAGCCCCGCCTCCTCAATTCTTTTCCAGAAAACACAGTGAAGATGAAGCCGTGGACGCTGCTGACCCCTCAGGCGTCGTGCTGCAGCGCCTCTCTACCTGGCACCTGCCACCTGCCACCTGCCCGTTCCCTGCTCTCCAACTCCTCAGGGACCTGAAAAAAGTTTTTTAAAAAAGTCATTCTATGGCACCTTTTTAAATCTTAGAGCAGGGGTTCTCAAAATGTTTGGTCACAGGACCTGTGGAAAAAATATCAAAGACCTTTTGTTGTGTGGGCTATAACTACTGATAATTTTAGAAAATCTTTTTTTTCCCTGTTTTTTTTTCGAGACAAGGTTTCTTTTTTCTTTCTTTCTTTTTTTTTTTTGCGGAACCGGGGATTTGAACTCAGACTCTCGCACTTGCCAGGCAAGCACTTAGACAAGGTTTCACTGTGTAGCTCAGGTCGGATTCGCTGTGCAGCACAGGGTGGTCTCCGCCTCAGCCTCCTGAGGACTGGGATTACAGGTGTGCACCACCACACTGGCCAGTAAGTACTGCTGTTTATAGAATATATTCTATTCAATAGAATTTGAAAACGAATTGGCAGATGCCTGTAATTCCAGCTGAATTAATTAATTCTGGGAGGCTGACAGGAGGACTGAGCTTTGGGGTCCAGCCTGTGCAATTTAGGGAAGAACCTGCCTCAAAAACTAGAAAGGGCCGGGGACGTAGCTCAGCGCGCAGCCCTGTTGTGACAGGACTCAGGAAGCTACCTTGGGCTACTTACCTGGGGAACCTGTCTCCGAAAAACGGAAAAATTACAAGAGACTGCTCTAGCATAAGCTGCATTCATTAGGAGCGCCATGGTGTCGACGCGCTGCGCATCTTCTGGGAAACTCCACCAAGCATCCTTAAAAGGATTAGATCACAAAGGCAAATCCTATCTCGCCAGCAAAAGCCTGGACCTCAAGTAGTCCCTGCCCCATTCACGCAGCAGACAGCAGGCATGGAGAAGCCCTCGGGTCCCTGGCGCACGGCCCCTCTACTCCAGCCCCGCCTGTCCTCCCGTGCACCGCAGCCTCCCTGGGCCACCCGCCAGTCCGCGTCCCCGACCTCTGCCACGGAAGCGCTCCTGCGCCACGCTCTTGGACGCTCGTCTCCTGCTCGACCGCAGCACGCACGGAACGTTCCGCATTGGGGTCGGCCGGCCCCCGTGGGAGAACACTGCCCACTAGCGGGGCGGGGCCGGAAGCGGCGGCTTGGGCGGGGCCGGTCTGTGGGAATAAAGCTGTGTTCCACTGCTCCCGATCGGGTGTCTCATTCTATCCCTCCCTAAGCACAACGAGTCGCGCATTCATATATGGTTCCTTCCCATTACCACAGCCCTGTCTGAACACAGGGCGATTGGGTGCTTCATAGCGAAACATTGCCCTGCGCTCCGCCGGAAACCTCGGAGCAGAGCGGAGCCGGAAGTGGGTCCTTCCGGCCCCGCCCCCGAGGGTGGGCGGGGCAAAGACTGTCAAGAAACCTGGAATGGATTCGGTCCACTGCACTCCTCGGTTGTAAAGGGGACAGTCGCTAGTCGGGTGGTGTTGTGGAGTGCCTCCGAATAAAGTGCCTCCCGCGAGGGTATTAGCCCTGTTCTTCTTAGGGAAGGGATGCCAAATTCTGTTCCTGCCTCTCCCCAGAGCCTACACACTGAAAAAAATGTTTTGGTGTACTGAGACCGGGTCTCGCTACGTGGAGTCCAGGCTGGCAGTGAACTCCTAACCCTCCTCCGGCCTCAGCCTCTCGAGTGCGGAGACTACCGGAGGCGTGTGCCACCAGGCCCGGCTTGGAATCCTATCGCAATTTAGTGCGGGCCAATGCGATACAGAATGTCAGAGCGGAGGGCTGGGAGGCGGCGACAGGCCGGCCGGAGCCCCCAGGTCCCGACCCGGGCTGTCCGGCGCTGCCCGCGTGCGCGGCCCTGGCTCCCGTCCTCACTTCCTTCCCCTTTTGGCTCCTGCTCTCGGAGCGGGCGGACGCGGGGGGGAGCGGAAAGGGCGGGAGGGCCCAGGAGCCCGGGCGCGGAAGGCCGGGAGGGGACTCGGCCGGGGGCCGCAGACCCACAGCAGCAGCGCCGCGCCCCGCGCCGCCCTCCCTCCGAGCAGGTCAGGGCC